ATATCAGTGACTGGACAATGACCCAGATTTTGCTGGAATTTGGAAATGGAAGACTATCTTGGTGTGTGTTTGGCGACTAAATAGTGATGAACCCTGTGGTTCCTCAGCATTCAGTCATTACTGGTGGCAGTTGCCCTGAAATGGCTTTCTTTATAAAAGGTCATTTGATGTGTGATACTAATATTGTTGCAAGTTAAGGTAGCAAAGTAAAATAGCATCCCATAGAACTGAGCTGCCAGATGTCACCCACGCTGAGATTCCATGTTGCTGGACTCCCAGATGGATACCCATGATATGGGATGTCCTGTATGCTGCAAATATGTGTTGCTCTTATTGGTTGATGAATAAGGCTGCTTTGGCCTATGGCAGGACAGAATATAGCTAGGCAGGAAAGCCAAACTGAATACAAAGAGAAAGAAAGGCAGAGTCCGAGAGGCCATCCAGCTGCCCAAGGAACAAGATGCCAGCAGATTAGTAACACCACAGCCACGTAGCAAAATACAGATTAACAGAAATGGGTTAATTTAAGTTGTAAGAGCTAGTTAGTAATAAGCCTGAACAATAGGATAAGCATTTATAAATAATACTAAGCTTCTGAGTGATTATTTAAAGTGTCCGCCGGATGGGGTGGGACAGAGAAAAGCCTCTGACTACACACCCAGGCTCTGCTTCACTTCTTAAATAAAGCTGAGTTTGAATCAGGCAAGCGCTGAAACCCAGAAGCTCAGTTAAATGCAATTATGAAATAAATACTTGGAGAAGAAAAGGAGAACATATGACCTAAGAGCAAACTCCAATAACTCTGAAGGCCATTGTAGGGCACAAGGGAGGACACTGACTTCAGAGTAAAGATGCCTGGACTAAAGTCCCAGGCCTGATACCATTAAAGACGGGAAGAACTTAAGCAAGTGTCTTAACTTTTCTCATCTTTATTTCACTCATATCTAAGTGGGTAATAACTTTTTAGAGCTGCTGTAAAGATTAGACTAGAGCTTTTACATAAAAGTGCTCAGCACATTGATGGCTGGTAGGAAGCATTCAGTGGCTGTTAATTATTACATTATTATTCAAATAATAAAGGATACTTCAAAATTAATTTTACAGTTATAGAAATTCACAAAGTCATGTAATTAAAATTACATCCATCACAATAACAATAACTAATGCTTATTGAGCATGCCTGCTTATTAAGTCTTCAGAACACAGGTAGAATCAACACCATGCATTTTGCAGATAACCAAACGGAAATACAGAGGCCAGAGTCAGTGTCACACAGCTAGTGGAGTGACTGGAACATCCAAGCAGGCAGTGTGGTTGTGGAGTGCACGCTCTAAACTACGGCACCATTTTGCTTTGATGATGAAGTTAGGTCTTTCATCATTCTGCAGATACCTGCTTTCTTTGTGTTTGAACTACTACACACTATTACAATGTTATGTATTTTGAACAGATTATTCAGCTCTACTTCACATCCCACACAATTTACTCAATTAGCTTTTGTAATTCAGTGGGGTTTAGTATTTCCTATTCTCATCTGAAGTGTTCAAGCTTTCAGTTTCTCCTTACATACACCAACACTTGTTAAAGTCTTTTTTTTTTTTAGCCTAGTGGATGTTAACACATTATTTAAAATCTTAATACAAGCACGGTTTTAGTAACGTACTGATAGAATGGTGCCTTTTCTGCTATATGAAGACCCAGTGAGGAGGCGCCATCTGTGAACCAGGAAGCCAGCTCTTACCAGACACCATCTACTGCTGTCTTCAGCTTAGACTTCCCAGACATAAGAGTCTTGAAAACTAAATCCATGCTGTTGCTGTTAAGACATTCTGTTTGTGGGATTTTGTTACAGCATGGACCAAGACACTGGCTAAAACCATCCATAGAAAGGCACAGAAAGCAGTTCACATGGTATACAAATTCTTACAATGAATATTAACATAGTTGGGTATAGACCACAAAGTGAGAAGTCTATTTGGGTAGTATAACTTTAGTCAACATTTTCATAGCAGATAAACCAAAAAAGTGAAGGTAGCTTTAAAAATTAATGACAAAAATGAAAGAAAAAAATAGAGAAAAAAATCTAGGCATTCACGCACATGCCAGAGACATCAAGGACACCAAGCACTGTGGGCTGCCTTTCCCAACAGTCCCTGCATCTACACCCACCTCCACCCCCTTTCCCAACAGTCCCTGCATCTACACCCTCCTCCACCCCCCTTTCCCAACAGTCCCTGCATCTACTCACCTCCACCCCCTTTCCCAACAGTCCCTGCATCTACACCCACCTACACCCCCTTTCCCAACAGTACCCTGCATCTACACCCACCTCCACCCCCTTTCCCAACAGTCCCTGCATCTACTCACCTCCACCCCCTTTCCCAACAGTACCCTGCATCTACTCACCTCCACCCCCTTTCCCAACAGTACTCTGCATCTACTCACCTCCACCACCACCCCTTTCCCAACAGTACCCTGTATCTACTCACCTCCACTCCCCCTCTTTCCCAACAGTACCCTGCATCTACTCACCTCCACCCCCTTTCCCAACAGTCCCTGTATCTACTCACCTCCACCCCCTTTCCCAACAGTCCCTGTATCTACTCACCTCCACCCCCTTTCCCAACAGTACCCTGTATCTACTCACCTCCACCCCCTTTCCCAACAGTACCCTGTATCTACTCACCTCCACCCCCCCTCTTTACCAACAGTACCCTGTATCTACTCACCTCCACCCCCTTTCCCAACAGTATCCTGCATCTACTCACATCCACCCCCCCTCTTTACCAACAGTACCCTGTATCTACTCACCTCCACCCCCCTCTCCCAACAGTACCCTGTATCTACTCACCTCCACCCCCCTCTCCCAACAGTACCCTGCATCTACCCTCCCACCCCGACCCCACCCCCGCCTCCAGGTAAGCCACTTCCTTCAGAGGAAAACCCCTGAGGTGTCTCTGTTGGCTTGAGGACAATGTCACAGTCACAGGCCACCATCCTGGGTTGGTGGTGAGGCCCAGTCTCTCTCCTCCAGGAAGTCTGCTGCCAGCAACCTAGTGTCTCAGGCTCCTAGTAACTGTGAGTACCCCTGTAACAGTGCTCATCAAAAAAGGAGGGGTCTTCCGGAAGTCTCCAGTGCTTGTGTGGTGGCCCAAGCCATTTTAACTCTTCCCAGCTCCAGTCCCAGTGCTGCTGGTGGCTATTTCACAGCCAGCACGGAGCTGACCAGAGAGGAAGTGTAAGGAGAGAAACCTTATTCCACCCATGACATCTGTTCTCAGACCGAGCTTTCAGTATGAGAATCAATCAGGCTCCCCCTTGCTGAAGCAATCATTGGGTTTCATTTCTGTTCCTTGAATTTGAAAACACCCTGAAAGCTACAGCAGGTAACCCGGCTTCCAAGAGTCCAGGAAATGTGAATGATGCAGGAGAATCAGCAGAGCCCGGCATGTGCTCTGAGAGAGGGACTCTTATGAGGAAAATTAACATGACAGCTCACACTAAGAGCTGCAGATTCATCAAGGTCTTCTTGTATTCTTTCTGCTTGGATGTGGACATCCTAAAAGAATCTGCATACATCATTGCCTGACTGTTTTCCAATCTACAAAGTGCGAAGAGCCTGAGGGGGAAAGCTGACCAGGGTGCGTGTTATAAACATGCAGTTATAAGAGCAAGAACAGTCAAACAAGGCCTGTTTCATAAGTACATTGAGCATGCTGAAGCTCTTCCTCCCAAGCAGATGAAATTCATCATTAAAGTTTAGTAAAGCTTAAAGGCATTGCATTCTAGGTGCTTTTTACACAAAAATGTGACTAATTGAAAACACATCTTCTACAAACTGCTGAGGCCAAAACAGGGAAGCCCATCTGACCAATAACGTAAGTTTTTTTTTTTTCCATTTGAAATATAAAACATAGAAACTGTTAGTAAATCAATTTAATTTGTCATGGGTGAGACAGTTAGGAATAAGGTTTCTTGGCCTTACACTTCCTCCCTATTCTCATTTTATTAATGTGCCTATGAATACACTTAACCTAAAATAAACATAAGCTCACCAATCTCTACCAAAATCACACATAATCTTTAAATTTAGATTTAATCTACTGATGTAAAACATTCCCATGTTTTATAGCTATTAAGTTGTTAAAGTCACCTGGAAAGAGGGATCCCTACTTGAAGAGTTGCCTTTATCAGATTGGCCCTTGGGCATATGGGTGGGAGCATTTTTTTTTAATTAATGATTTATGGAGGAGGATCCAGACCACTGTGGGCAGTCCCACCCTTGGACAGGTGGTCCTGGGATGTATAATAAAGTGGGTTGAGCAGCCATGAAGAGCAACCCAAAAAGCAGCACATCTCCATGGTCTCTGCTTCATTTTCTACCTCCATGTCCCTGCCTTGAGTGCTGCCCTGGCTTCCTTTGATGATGGACTGTAACTATAAGCCAAAATAGCCCTTCCCTCCCAAGTGGGTTTTGGTCACAGTTATAGAAAGCAGAGTAGGACAGGAATTGATACCAAGGACATGGGGTACTGTTGTGATGAATGTGACCATGTTGTTTTGGGAAAGACTGTGAAAAGATTTTAGAGCTTTGGGTTAGAAAAGGTCTGTACATGTTCAGAGTTTAACCAGCTGGCATCGGGTGCTTGAAAGACAGAAATGTTGAAAGAGGTACAGATGATGGAGGCCTGGCTCAAGAAACTTCAACTAGAAGAAGATTATTTACTAGAAATAAAATACCATAAATAAAATAAAATAAAGGTGTGGTTGTGCACACCTTTAATCCCAGCACTCAGGAGGTAGGGGCAGGTGGATCTCTGTAAGTTCAAGGCTACAAAGCAAGTTCCAGGACAGCCAGGGTTGTTACACAGAAAAAACCCTGTCTAGAAAAACAGACAAACAAAAAAGAAAGAAAGAAAACAGTTTTTCTCTAACATCCCTTCCACGTGTGGCTTCAGCAAGAAGCAAGTTGAGTGGGCTGCTGCGGAGCTAACACTCACCTTCACCAGCTCCGTGTAGCCAGTCTCCCTGGGCGTCCACCACGGCTGAGCCTTTAGGCCATTCACATTGTAGAGGGAGCGCTGCCAGACAGAGGCGAAGTGTCCTCTCTGGTGCCCAAGCTCATACCACTTATACGCCTGAAAGACAGAAAGGCTGCTTCACACTGCTCTTTTGGAGGAAACATTTTTATTTCGAAATTGAAGGAAGTACCATAAGCTAATTCAGATGTTCCTTGAGTTGTGGTGGGGCCATCTTGCAGACCCATTGTAGATACTCTACAGTGAAAACCTCCTTCCCTACTGCACAGCATATCCCTCTTCTGCACCAGAGCTGCTGCAGAGGGCCCTTTGGTTCTCCTGGACGGATGACTGACAGGGCCATAGCTCACCGCCACGGCTCAGCATCATGGACAGAATGGTGCTATATATTGCTGCCCTGGGAAGAGCTCAAAAGCCAAAATTTGAAGTGTGTTTTTTACTGAATACAGACTGCTTTCACACTCTACAGAACTGAAAAGCCTGAAAAACTTATGGCCGATCTTAACTCGGGGACTATCTGTACTTTGAGATAATTAAATACGGATCTTACCTGATAAGACCTGGTGAAATTTCTGTGGTTTAACTGAGCTTCTATATGCTGTTGGGACAAGTGAACACTAGCGGTTCATTTCCACTCTCAGGCTGTCAGCTCTGGATTCTGGATTCATGCCCCGCCTATTTTGGTTTCCACACACCTAAGCCAGTTTAGAACTAATTTGTTGAGTAGACACATAACTTAGGATGCCAAAGGAGGCCATGCTTGTATTTAGCTTTCATTTTGTATGTTTTATTTTTATATTTTCTTTATAAGGGATGGATTATGACTTGAATGATTTCAAATACACTTGCTATTTACTGAATTGGGCTGCTACGATCTAAAGTAATTTCTTTTCATAGTAACTTTCTTTGATGTCCTATGGTGACAGAATAGATAAAAACGAAATATTATTCTGAGTTGGCAATAAATAGTATGATAGCCCATATCAGATGCTTTAATAGGAAACTTTCATTCATAGTGTGCTACGTTTTCTGCAATAAGAGACAGCACTCTTGGCTTCAGGTTGGCTCTGGTGATACAACTGGCACCTAAGACCAGCTTCTTCATGGACATCTGGCAGCAGACTCTTGCTCCATATGGCTGGTCCAAATGAGGCCCTGCCACATGTCCCCAAGTGGCCCTCCCCCAGGCTGCCCCCACGTGCCCACTGTCTTTGGAGAGGAGTTTCTAGTGGCCCACTGGATTACATCTCCACCATTAATACATCTGGTCAAAGGCTTGCTCTTCTGAGAACTGACTTTTTAAAAATGTGTGTCCGTGCCCACCTCATATACAGTGTCCCTTCACCTAGACCAGGGTAGCCTCAACCTTGGAATCCTCCTGCCTTATCTTCCCGACTGCTGAGATTATAGGCCTGTGCGACCATCATACCTGGTTAAATATGCATGCTTTGATCAATAAAAAGAAGCATTTAATGGTAGCTCCAATACCTTCTTTGTAAAACTCCAGATACAGAAATTTAAACTTAGAAACTATTAACTTCTGTTTTTAATGTTATTATATGAAAAAAAAACTTGGAAATAAATAAAATCATATTTTAGTTAGTGTATGAAACTGTTAACTTGAACATGTTTAACAATTATGTTTCAAACTTTTCTTGCTTAGCACTGTAGATCAATGGCCCTCCTGTTTTCTACAACACTCCATTATTTGCCTTTTACATAAGTGACCTCATCAGATCTTTCTAACAGCCCCAAACATTTCCATTCTATAAATGGTGAAACTGAGGGTTTTAATGGCTCAATTCAATACGAGTCTCCTCAAAACAAGTTAAAAACACTCTCTTTGTATCACTTTTTGAAACCATCAAAAAGAATCTTTTTTAATTACCTTTCTCATTAAAATCTCAAGGAGCACACATGTTAATACTTCTTATATATTGTCCTTGAAACATATGTAATTTGGGCCCAGAGTTCTTTAAAACCAGAAAGTTAAAATGGCTAATTGATGTCAGGCAAAAAAAAAAAAATTATGAAAGAAAAAGAAGAAGAAAATCATATTCATCTTTGAAATTAATTTGATCATTATTGCTTCAGCCAACTTGAATTTAGGACTTTATTTCCAAAGCCTTCTGCTGTTGAACTGAATACTATTAATTACAACATATGATATTTTTTTAAAGTCTGGTAGTTCATTAATTTTTCAATCATCAGTAATTCATTTGAAGGACTAGGCATATTGATGGGATAGTGGAGAAAAAAGTAATTATAGGATAAACCAGCCAGCAGGCAGTGTGGCTCACACTGCAGCGTTCAGGGGTGTTGGGTTTGAGGCTGCCCTGTGCTGGATGCCTGGGCGAGCGAGCGGGGCCCTCACAATTCCTGTCCACACTATCGTGCAGCCTGCTCTGATGTTCACAGTATCCACTACACATTGAACAAGAGCCTTGAATTTGCACTCCTATATCATTTCCCCTTTGTTGTAAATAAAATCCTCACAACGACAGATCAGAAATTCAAAAACTGCTTCTACTGCTACATTATAGAATGGGCTCAATGAATTAGGCTAGATTAAAAAAGCATATAAAATGACAAAAGTTTGTAGAAAATTCAGTCAAGTAAGAAACCTGTGTAGCTGGCCTCCACTTCTGTTCTTATTTATCAAGAGGTTTATAACATAATAAAGAACAGTGAGGTCGACAGCAGGAGTTCCCAGCTCTCTCCAGCTCTCTTGTTTTTTGTTTTGTTTTCTTGTTCTTTAGGAAATAGGGTCATGCAACCCAGGTGGCTCACAGACTTGCTGTGTAGCAGAAGATGGGCTTTGAATTTCTGATCTTCCTGCCTTTACTTCCTGAGTGCTGGTATTATGGGATGTACTACTCGAGGTGGTGCTGGGGACAGAAACAACAGGCAAGCAGTCTAGGAACTGAGATACATCCCCAGCCTTAGGCTACCTTCTTAAAGGCACTCTATATCAACGTCATTTCTAGTTTTGTCAAGTTATTACTATGTGTTCTTCACACATACACAGACACAGACACAGACACACACACACACAGACACAGACACACACACACACACACACACACACACACACACACACACACA